TGATTCTCTTGCCTCAGCCTCCCGAGTAGCTGGGACTACAGGTGGCTGTCACAACACCTGGCGGCTATTTTTGTGTTGCGATTTGGCCAGTGCCGGGTTCAAACCTGCCACACTGGGTATATGGGGCCGGCATCCTACTCACTGAGCTACAGGTGCCACCCTTCAAAGCTCCATTGTTTCTCTTGCCTAGTAGACCTCATTTTTTTTTTTTTTTTAACAAGAACCTTTCTGTCCCCCCCCTCCCCTTTTTGAGACAGTCTCACTCTGTTCCCTGGGTAGAGTGCTGTAGCCTCATAGCTCACAGCAACCTCAGACTGCTGGACTCAAGTGATCCTCCTGCCTCAGTCTCCCGAGCAGCTGAGACTACAAGTGCCCGCCATAGTGTCTAGCTAGTTTTTCTGTTTTTAGTAGAAACAGGTCTTGCTTTGTTCAGGCTGGTCTTCAACTCCTGAGCCCAAGTGATCCACCCACCTTGGTCTCCCAGAGTCCTGGGATTACAGGCAGGAGCCACCAAAAGAAGCTTTCTATTTTTCATCCCCTGATTTTTTAGTTAGGAGAAAAGAAGTCTGTTTATAATCCTGTGTGTCATTTCTGTAAATTACCCTTTACACACAGGAATGTCAGATGCTCCCCTGGAGAATCAGTTTCATATGGTAATTTTCACTAATGAATCTAGACCTATAATGTTAAATTTTGCCCCAGACCGCCTCAGGTGAATTAGAGGAAGATGGTTGCTGTCAGTGTGAAAATTCTTACAGATTCAAGAGAGAACGCTGTAATAAAACAGACTCAGAGACTCTGTAGTTCTGAATACTAATACCGACACCATCAAAAAAGATTTATGAGATGGGAAAGCATATTTTTGATATAAGAATTTAAGAGGACTTTTAGTATTTTCCAATGTCACCATCAATAATTGGAATCTGCATTTTTTCCTTTATTCATTCAATAAATATTTAACACACCTATTATGCTCCTGGCTTTGCATTAGACTCTGGGGGAGTTATAAAGAACCTGGAAGGCTGGGCTCTGCCCCAAGAGGGAAATAAAAGAAACAATTACATCTAATTGTTTTTAACACTGAGGCTCCAAGGCCAGTGCCCACGAGGCACAGCCACTGTGCCCTTCTCTTCTCTTCCCTTCCCTGCCTTCAGAGTTTATTGGACATGTCTGTCTCGGGGTTCAGCCCACGTCCCTCTGTGCCCAGCAAGGACTATTCTCTGATAGGCTGTGATCTGATTAAGTCCAGCTCGTTTGTCTCTCAGTGTTGGAAAAGACTGCTCATTTTTACACAGGACTAAGATTTCCTAAAACATGGTGTTCATAGACCAAAATGAGTAATCACTAACGTTTCCTGAGAGGGCTTTTAGTCAGCTCTTTGCCTGCAAAATTGCAGACTGCCTGCAGGATACACATGCATTATGTAGCTGCAATTCCACCCAAAGAAGGGAGGCTGGCTGGGGAGGTCAGGCCAGGGTCTTCCTCCGTCTGACCCAGAGGAGGTGCAGTGAGTCCCGTCTCCAATGTATGAGAGCCACAAGTTTGGGCCGTATTTGTTCCAGGCCTCCAAACTCCTGGAAAAGCTTATGATACCATAGTGCTCTAGCAAGGGCGACAAACAGAGACTCTGTCTCCAAAAAAAAAGGTGTTTCCCTACCTGGAGAGGGTGGGAAAGCCTTGAAGACTCCCCATATTTATATTCTGTGATGGAGACCAAGGCCTGATTCATTTATTTGCTCAGCAGTCATTATTATTTTAGTGCTTGTGCACACAGCAGGCACCAGAAGGGCCCACAGGCTGGGCTTCCTGAACTCCTGTGCATTAGAACCACTGGGGAATCCCTTAGAAATTCCCAGTCCTGGGCCACCCCACTGTCCAGGTGTGGGGTATAGACATCAGCAGTATTTCAAAAGTTCCAATCAGTGTTCCAATGGCTGGACGGGTCTGTGGGTCGCTGCCATGGGCGTTTACAATATAGTTTTAGATGCCACACCCAGAAAATTCAGTGGCAACACAAGATGGCTGTACAGAAACTGCACAGAGCAGAGTGGGGTGCAAACCTGATTCTGTGAGCAGGAGTCCTCCCCATTGGAGGAGGAGTAGGGGATGGAGACATCCAGCCAGGGGGGCCTGGAGATAAGAGGCAAGTGTTCCCTCTTTCTGACTTTGCCCTGGGATGACCCTGGATCATCATCTTGGGATCAGTGCCTGGAATGGGCCAGTAGATGGAACACTGGACTCTTCCTTGCCATAGAGTTCGGGAATGTTTTTCTTGTAAAAGATAAACTGCTGGCATTGTTTCTGGGGCGGGCGTGTGTGTGTGTGTGTGTGTGTGTGTGTGTGAGAGAGAGTGATCCCAGATCCCCCAGGATGGAAATACTCAGCTGCTCCCATCTTGATTGTCCTGCTCTTTCTTAAAAGTGCTCCCTGCCCTCTTAACGGCCACAGCAAATGTCCCTGTGTGTGCATACAAGCGCACAAATGAGCCATTTTATGTGGGTAATTCAACACCCCAGGGTCTCATGCAGTGCTGAGCAATGGCTGGTGTGGGTGGTGGAGGCACTTGACCTTGGCCCCTCTGGCTTCTCCAGGTGTACACAGAGGGGGCTGCTGCGCCAGCATGGGTGGCCCATGGGAGTCCTCTCTGATGGTCTAAGTACTTGATATTTCTAATCACTTTATTTATTTTTTCAGTGACAGTTCAGAGCTTATTGATAGAAAATTGATAGATTGATAACCAAAAGAGTGGGAACAGAGCCTCTGGCAGCAGAGGGGGAGTCCAAGTGAGAAGTCCTGTGTTCTGTGTGATTTCACAGAGGGGGGAGTAATTCTTCTTCAGGAGCTGAAGCCCAAGTTCTCCCTCCTTCCTCTCAAACCCGCAGTGTGTCACGCCGAGCTGAACGCCATTATGAACAAGAACTCAGCGGACGTGAAGGGCTGCAGTATGTATGTCGCCTTGTTCCCATGTAACGAGTGCGCTAAGCTCATCATCCAGGCAGGTAGGACCGGCCTCTGCGGGGTCACATCTGCACGGCGCCTGCTCTCGGTAGCTCTTTGCAGATATGCTGGATCTGAAATTGTTGTTGTTTAGATTGAAATTAATTTTGCTATCAACTTTGCAGGTAGTTCCCATGTTTTGTTTTTTTTTTTAATGGTGCCAGGTATTTTAAGCCTAATCACATCCTCTGTGATTCTTAGCGTGTTTTTAATTTAGTTTCCAACTCCTTAAACTGCAAGCTGCCAAAACAACACAGGCATTGCATGTAATTACTGTCTCTTCACTGTTCTCTGACATACTGTGCGTAGATTAGGGGGTGGGGAGAGAAATGAACTGTCAGGAACAGGTCAGCTGGAGTCTGTATATGAAATTTTAATTCGTATCTGATACGTGGCAGCTATTTGAGAATCTAAACATAGCTTCTCTATAAGCTTTGCTTATAAATGTCATTAAGACGCAAATGGTACTGTTTTAAGTTTCTCTTGCATTGTAGTTAAATCTATATACCACTGTACTCTGAATATTTCACCTTTTTTAATGGAGAAAAATTATTTTATATTTTATTTTTTAAATTTTATTTATTTTGGATTAATATGAGGGTACAGATGATTAGGTAAAGTCCTGCACACAGAGGGGTGAGTGAGTGCCATGTATACTTACATTGTGTCCATTAGGTCGGAGCTCACCAATCCCCTTCCTGCCTCCTCCGCATCTCCCTAACTTAAATTAAATTGAGTTTTTCTGTTCTGTGGGTGTATTTCACCTTTTTTCGAACTGTCACACTAAGATTCAACTATACTTTATCTCCATAAAACTCTCCTCTTGAAATTTAAAGACTCATGTTTAGCCAGAGGAGTGGTTTGAGGGAGCTGGTTGTCACAAGCCTCCTGGATCTCAGTGCAGAAGGGGTCTTGGGGTACTGATCCGAGGGTGGCAGTTGAGGAGAGCTTTGGCTAGTGTCGTGCAAGGTGTTTACCAAGTTTTCCTCTCCAGCCTCAGGTGCAGAGCGGAGGCAGGCATGTGGGAAGAGCAGCGTGCCAGCCTCCTTGCCCCTCATGAGGCTGGGGGTTGGTAGCCAGGCAGGGCCTTTGGGACTTCTGGGTCTCAGGTTAGCACCACCTGGTGAGATCAGGCAAAGAAAACAGACCCGCTCTCTGCAGCCCTTCCTGGATGCAGGGTGTACTTGCTCTGAGCTTGCTGGCAGCCTCCACTCTCCATTAGCTGGCTGAGTTGAGAGTAGTTGCCTCCTGAATAAAGAATATTTGATTACCTGTAGTAAAGAACATTTGTTAATTGGATCAAGACTCTGACTACTTGCTTTCCCTATGCATTTGTTAAAGATCCATAAAGACTAGAGGGGAGATTAAATCTAATCCGCCCTCCACTGTATTAGAAAGTGGCAGGTATTTCAGGACTGGACCTTGTCTGTAGACGGGCGCAGTAAGGCATTAATCACAGGCTGTCTCAGGGCTCCGTCCGCCTCTGCCTGTCTTTTCAGGGTCTGTTTGCATAGGTACTAAGGAGACTTCCCTTGTTACCTTTTAAGGTATTAAAGAAGTTATTTTCATGTCTGATAAGTACCACGATAGTGACGAGACAAAAGCAGCAAGGCTCCTGCTCAGTATGGCCGGGGTCACCTTCAGGTGAGTGGGGAGGGTTTGGGGAAGGGGTGGCGAGATGACTGTGACCTTGTCTAATGTTCAGCTTCTCCTTGTTTCTCCTTGTGGGTCCTCACTCCATACTTGATTGAGATTTGAAGTCTTTTGGATTTTTCTAATTTGTTTGCCAGGGACTGTGAGGTAGGTCTGCCCTTGCAGAAAGGGCAGCCACCTTTGATTCATGGCAGAAAATTCCTTTGAGACAGTGCAGGTTTACACAACTTTGGTGGTAACCAGCAATGGGGCTGTCACAGCAGGTGGCATGGTGCCCCCATGCTGATTATTAGGGAGGTAGGGTATGTGTCACCATGGCCTGAGCTCAACCGTTGTGGCTTATGAGGCTTTAAATCTAAGTTACTTACATATTCTCTTATTTACTGATTCTTAAAAATATATGTATATATTTAACCCCCAAATATTTTCTTTTTAACTATAGAAATAATGAGTAAAAAGTTACTGAGGGCCAAGCACAGTGGCTCACACCTGTAATCCTACCAGTTTGGGAGGCCAACCAGGAGGATGGCTTAAGGACATGAGTTTGAGACCAGCCTGGGCAACACAGCAAGATCCTGTCTCTAAAGCCTGGGCAACATAGCAAGATCCTCTAAAAAATTTTTTTTCAAATTAGCTGGGCACAGTGGCGCACACCTATAGTCCCAGCTACTCAGAAGGCTGAGGAAATTTTAAAAAATTAACTGAGCACAGTGGCACATACCTCTAGTCCCAGCTACTCAGGAGGCTGAGTCAGGAGGATTGCTTGAGCTCAAGAGTTAGAGGCTGCAGTGATCTGTCATTGGACACTGCACTCCAGCCTGGGTGACAGAGCAAGACTCTGTCTCTTAAAAAAAAAGTTAGTGAGTTAAAAAAATATAGTGAGTTTATTTTACATTTACATTCTTGGAACATGATGTTAACAATTACTTCTGACTAAAGTGAGTTGTGTTTTGCCGTGAATAAGAAGCATAAGAAAATTTACTGTCTTTTCCATTAGAGCAACTCACAAGTTGGCTGCAGAAATTTCCTAGGGAATAAGTTGAATCTGATGGGAAAACTAGTCATCGGCTGTCATGTTGTGTGTGTGGCAGCCTTGTTAGAAATCCTTTGACTCCCTGATAATTATGGAGCTCAGATAGCTAAGAACATACCAACTGTGCCACCCCACACGTCTCTTTTTGTCTCATCTCTCCTGGTCCATGTCCCTCCCAGTGTGCTGCCTCCCATAGAGACAAAACATTGAGCGAAGGCAGGACATTGGTTTCTCCGTATAGAAAACCTGAGCTGGGCATCTTAGTGAGGCCGAGGTACTCAGAGCTCTTCTCAGAGCTCTGCAATGTCGCTCCAGTTGACAACGGGAAGAGGAAAGATGCTGGGAAGTCAGCCAAGAAAGGCCAAGACCTGGGGGCACATCTGGGGGCAAGGCCAGAAAGAAAAAGTGGTCCCAAGGCAAAGTGGGGGACAAGCTCAACAACCTCGCCGTCTTGTTTGACACACTCTGTGAGGAAGTTCCCAGCTGTGGCCTCTGAGACACTAGAGATTCGAGGTTCCAGGGCTTGGCAGTCCTTTGGGAGCTGCTGAGTTAGCGACAGTGCTCAGGTAATTTTCACCAGAAATGTCCCAGGTGGAGATGCCCAGCTACTGGTGACGATGGATGGGGACATCCAGCCAACTGTATCTTTGGGAAAATCAAACTTTATCGAATTGGAAAAAAAAAGAGAAAATATAAGTTAAGCCCAAGTAAACAAATTATTTTAAAATAACTCACCATTTCTATTCCTTCCTATATTTGCTTTTTGTGTTTAGGAAATTCACCCCAAAGTGCAACAAGATCATCATTGACTTTGATTCAATTAACAGCAGAACAAGTGAAACAGTGAGTTCCACCTCGTGAACCGTCCGGAAGAATGGGATTATCCTCTTCTAAGGAGCTGCTCCTGCCTTTCATCTGCACAGGAAGAGTGGACATTTAAGAATATAAACCCTTGCATCTTCCTTACTCTCTGCCACACAGAAGCTACATCCATTTGAACTATTGGTTTAGGGTTTAAAATAAGAGAACCTGTTGGTGGCCAAGCACACGGGGCTAGGGCAAGGGTGCCTGCCCCGGGCCTGACTTGCAGGGTGTTGGTGGTGGGGCCAAGAGCCCTCAGCTGTCTGTCATCTGCTGCTTTCCAGCAGCCACCCCTCACTGCTGCATGTTCTGGAAGGACAAATAAATAATTGTTGCTGTGTTCTTAGTGGGGATGAGCAGACACACTGATTTGAACATCTGGCCCAAATGAAGCATGCCGTGTAGTGCCCTTGGATAAAAATGAGGACTCAGCGACAATATTAATGTATCTGCTACCGAGACTTGAGGGACACCCTCAGCCACCCGTCCTTAAAACTGAGATGGGATGGCACGTCTGTAATGACAGGTGATGAGCATAATGGAACCAGGGACATTTCTTCTGTTCCTGCCACCCTGCTGTCACACAGGGTGAGGGTACATTAGCTCTTTGGGGATGGGGACCCCTGCTGTTCGGTGTATTTTTGGTTTGTTTGTCATGTGAAGCTCCTGGTTGTTGTTTATCTGAATAATGAGTTGTCCCCAGAAGATGAAGACAGCCTGTCTCCCTTGGTGCCCCTGAGGCCCAGCCTGGCTGTGGTGGCAGCTGGGGTTGTGTGGGTGGATGGGCTCTGTCCTGTGATCGGGGTCCATCCTGTGGACCATCTCGCCTCTCTTCTGAAAGTCAGCTTGGTTCATTTCTAAGGCCACTGCCACCAGGAGTCCATAAATTCCTGTCCTGCAAGTGAGCTCTTGGTGACTGGAGCTCATTTGTGCTCCTAGTGCCATCAGCAGCACAAATGTCACCTTCCTAATCACAGAGCCCCAGCACCTGTGTAGGGGCCTTTGTCTTTAATCTCATTTAATTTTTATTAAACGTGCTCAGTACCTTTGTTGAACAAATGCTTTATCCTAAAGATGATTACCTTTGTAAAGTGCTTTTATATTTTCATGAGTTTTTATTTTGTCTCTGGGTTCTGTACTCGCCATTCTAGGGCATTTTCTAATTTGGTTACTGATAATTATTAAAGTCTTGTTAAAGTCTAGAGCACTGAAGTGTGTTCATTTTTATGTTGTTATATGTTTAAGTCTCCTGTCTTGTGTGTATTATCTGAAGCACATTGTGTTTTAATGCTCAGAGGACAGTTTGAGACACTGAGGCTGTGTGCTTTCCCGGCTATGGATGGCCTTCTTCATGGCCCAGATTTAACACGTGATGAACAGCTGTTATCATCTCTGTGTGCCCTGTGTCTGGTCTCAGG